AATTGTCTGAAACTGACGATTCGTGTGCGACGATTGAATTCATGCCAAAACAACGGACTATCAAATCAAAACACAAGCAAAATGTCAAACAATAGCAATATTTACGATTCGGCCGACGACTCAATACTAACAGACCGTTCGTTGGACTCAAAGTCTACTATTCTATACGAAGTGATGCCGTCGTCGTCGACGGGCACCACCGCGTCGTCCAGTAGTGCCAGCAGTGACTGCAGCTCTTCGGCGGTTGGATTGGGTGTGAACTATGGCTTAGACGGCAACCAATACGACGGCTATAGCCGTAGAAATAGGAATAAGAAGAAGAAGAAAAAGAAATCCAAACGAAAACTGTCGAAACGCAGAGCCGACTACACGTCTATGCAGTCGCCGTCAATGTTGTCCACCACCGGAACGGACAGTCGTGGCAGTCATTCACTCGGCATTGACTCGGCTTTGAACGGCGCTAAACGGCTGCGGCTTATCGTCGGAAACGATACCATTAGTATTGATATTAAGAAAAAATTGTCTCTTTTTTAGCGATTTTTAAATGATTAGTTATTTATTATTTTCACACAAATATCAACAAGTGATAGCCCATTGCCCTCCCATTGCCTCCCTATCCTCCCAAACGCTCTTTTTCTAAAAGAGAGAGAATCTGTGTTTTTGACAAAAAAATATTTTTTTTGTCTTAAAATATAGTCTTTTTTATTAATATTTTTTGTCTCATTTTATGTGAAATTATTTTATATAAATTTTTTTTGTGTAATTATTTATATATTTTTTATTTTGATTACAATTTTTTGTTTAACAGAAAATTCAAGTCTTTTTCTTTCTTTTTGCTTTTGTTTGTCAAAAGATTTAATGAATTTTAAGAAAACACTTTTCAAATCAATTAATCGATTGAATTATTTATACATTTAATGAAAGGTTTTCGCTTTTTTGTGTAAATTTATATTTATTTTATGTCTTTTTTGTCAAGTTTTTTGTCTCAAAAACATAAAAATCCTCTTATTATGAAAAGAAAGTTATTGTAAAATAAGAATAAATTTATTTAAAAAATAAAAACTCGAATTACAATTTAAATTGCATTTATTTATTATTACCGATAATAGTAACCATAAAACATAAAAATCCTCTTATTATGAAAAGAAAGTTATTGTAAAATAAGAATAAATTTATTTAAAAAATAAAAACTCGAATTACAATTTAAATTGCATTTATTTATTATTACCGATAATAGTAACCACTAATTATATGATTATAAAATAATTAAATAAAACATATTTTAATGTTTCTAATACTGTATTCTATTACTGCAAGTATTTATTTTATTATAACATTTTTAGAAGAGAAGAAAGAGTTGACAGCAATTATGTGAATATTTGCATATCTATTAAGAATATTCAACATGTTATAAAAGTTGTACGTTGCTTTAATGAATTTGTTTTAAAAATAGCAATCTTATAAGTTATAAGTTATAACTTATAACAGTATAAATAGGTATCATATTTTATTCAATAATAATGGCTAAAGATTAAGAATTAGACTTTAAAAGACAATTGACTTTACATTATATAGATATTATTTTAATCAAATGGTTTGTAAATTATAGAAATTATATTCTGGTCATTAAATGCAACATGGAGATGGAATGTAGATCAATTTGATATTTGATTTGTTTTAAAAATACAATCATATTAAAACTTATTAAAACAGTTAAGTAAATTAAATAGCAAAGAATGCAATACTAAATTTAAGTGGGTTTAAATTGTATGAGTTACAATAAGTACAATGTTAAACTTAAGTAAAATGTATTCCATTTTGCACTCCTAACACTCCACTGATCTAGACCTTTTACAATGTAATTCTATGTAAATTTGTCAAATAAAATAAAAAATTAATGAATAACTATTTGAATAATGATATTGATATTATTGACAAATTATCAAGGTGATGCTTTTTCATTTGAGTGAATAGCAAACAATCAAATACACTGAATAAATAAATAATATTACAAACAATTTAGATATAGTTTCAGTACTAAACGCAATATAAAAATATAATCAAAGCATGAATTTATATCAAATAAAGATTTGTAGCGAAGAAATCATGAGATAACCTTAATTATATCCGCATTGACATAAATCAACCATGCTTAAATATATATTTCTAATTTCACTATTACACTATGTGTGTGAATGGGGTGTGCGGTGTGACTGTGGTTTCCCTGGTATGCCGGTGCACATGAAGGTGCGACCACTGGTAGGCATTTATTACGAGGACAGTCTCGTTGAATACTATTGCGAATTCAAACACATGATTTTGATTGGAAATCCTCACCGACAGTGCCGTAAGAGTCGATGGACTGGAGATATACCACAATGCGGTTTAGTATTTATTTATAATCATAGTTTCTCGTTGAGTACTATTGCGAATTCAAACACATGATTTTGATTGGAAATCCTCACCGACAGTGCCGTAAGAGTCGATGGACTGGAGATATACCACAATGCGGTTTAGTATTTATTTATAATCATAGTCATACATTTAAAATATAAATAATTGAACTATTATTAGAACAATAATTGTACTCCAACTACAATTTCAAATATTTAAACATAGTCTGTATTATAATAATTTATATAATGAACAAAATCTATATACAGTGCATGAAATCCCGCGGCGTTTTGTGGATCGGATAGAATTAGTTAACGTTAAGAACCATACCGTCAGTAATGTGTATCGTTCACTCATTTACGATTATAATTATTTGAATAATTATGCAAAATATCAATCGATGACATTTTACGGCGACCCGACTAACCCGGGAGAGTGTGTCCACTCCAAAGTCAAGGCTGATGTAACCCGAATGCAGTGGCGGGTAGTCTTCAAGTGGACCATCGGTCAGGTTTATCACGTGTCAGTCGTGGTCGACACCACAGCAATGAAACAAACTATCGATACAAGAAAAACGAGTTCAGTTATCAGTGAGATATACGTTAGTGATTATCGGGAGTGCAAAGCAGCAAAAACATCCCCAGAAACGGTCGATACTAACGAAAAAGTGCTGAAATACACATTCATTTGCGATCTTAAAGATCAAAGCAATGGCCAGAAATTGGAGGACTTTCAGTCGATTCGGTCCGAAGACCTTAAGAATATTACCATCACTTTTGCGGTCAATGAAATCACAGTCTGTGAGCTACACGTGGCCGAGACTTTACCCATTCGCTACTATAGTCGCGGCTCCTGTGGCTCTCCAGATATACCCCTATACTCGTCGTACGTTCCCGTTTGGGACGAGACTACTAATGGTGTCATTCCTATCGGCTATACATTCACTTGCGATAAAGGCTTTCAATTAGACGGCAATCAAGTAAACAAAATTTAGTGATAATCAATGTTTGAATAGACATCTAATATGTTTTTAAACCCAAAAGGTAGTCACGTGTGGTATAAACAATCAATGGTTGGACAAATTCCCAACATGTCTGCCCATAAATACCTGTCCAACAATGGACGGCACAAAACTAGATGAATTGTCGCTTAAAGTTGAATACCGCAATCTATACAGTGTTGACGGAAATATTACAGCTATTAATGGCACTCAAGCCATATATTCATGCAATCCTCACACCAAAGATGACGATAACGTTAATAAGACATTACTCGGAGATTCCGTACAATTCTGTCAAATTATGGGCAATTGGAGTGGAGAAGAGCCCGTCTGCTTAGGTCTATACAATAGAAAGACAGACTACACTATATTGTTATACATATTAAATATAAATCATGTTTGATATCTTTAGATGAGAATGATTTCACATTATATTTGTCTGAATTTAATGAAGACATACTAACAATGGAGTCAAAACACCCCGAATAGTATGTATATAAAATAATTTATATAAACATTATTTAAGGTCTATTAAAAATGATATGAGCAACCGGGACGTGAATAAACGTCCAATTTTAGTGTTACTGCTTATGCTATAGCAAACACAGTACATAAGCAGTAACACTAAAATTGGACGTTTATTCACGTCCCGGTCGCTCATATGTCATTACTGTCGTAATGCTAGCGCTCACCACCAGCACAGACCCAATCAGTGCGGAATACCAGCCATTCCTAAATACTCCCGAATCTATACTCACGACCCAAACCTAATTGGCGTATATTTGGCCGCAATTAAAGGCAAACTCGATCTAATGCCCAGTTATCCAAACGGATCAGTCATGACATACGGCTGCGAATCTAAGTTTGATTACATGG